TGAAACACACTCCAGTCTTTCTGAGAAAGAGACCTACTTGATTGTCCAGGAGCTATGGCCTGAGGGGCAGGCTTCTGGTCTGGCAAACTTCTTGAGGCCTGTAAATGTGCTCTCAGGGAGCGGAGGCTGGTGGAAGCAATCTTGGTACTCTCCCTCTGCCTCACTCCAGCTGCTCAGTATCTCCCAGAAAGGAGTTTATACCCTTGTCTGGCATCCCAGGTTTTGCAGCTGCTGCCAGGAGACACCTCTATGTCCCCTGGCTCTGGGGGCCAGTCGGCCTTCTACTCACAGTTCCCATGGGACTGTAGCCAACAGAGAAAGAGTGCTGAAACAGCCATCACCGTCTGGGCACCGCAAGAGGCAACAGAGTCAGGAGCCAAGTCTTTCCATGAAAGAAGCCTATAAACTTATCCTCAGAGCCTCAGACTGAAGAGCAAGCATCTAGTTAAACACACACCTAAGGGCTGATGGTGAACCTTAGCAGAGAGCTCAGAAAACGGCACTCTTTCTGCAATCTCCGTCTTCCACACTCCAGAACACCGGTATCTGTTGCAGGGCAGCTCTCACACCTGCCTGGTGCCCCCCCTTTTTTTTTGTGGTACATGGGCCGCTCACTGTTGTGGCCTCTCCCGTTGCAGAGCACAGGCTCCGCATGCACAGGCCCAGCGGCCATGGCTTACGGGCCCAGCCGCTCCACGACATGTGGGATCTTCCTGGACCAGGGCACGAACCCGTGTCCCCTGCATCAGCAGGCGGACTCTCAACCACTGCACCACCAGGGAAGCCCTGGTGCCCCATTTTTTATGTCTGGTGCCACCCAGGGTATGTGCCCCTTGAATACCTGGCTCTGGTGGCCAGGGGGTCTTGCATTCCTGGGTTCCATGGGACTGTAACAATCAGGCAGTTCTCTGTAGTGCACTGCACAGACAAGAGAATGAAACACATTCCCAGTCTTTCTGCGAAAGAGAACTATTTGCTCGACCTAGAGCTTTGGCCTAGGTTTCGGGTTTGGCACACTTCTAGAGGCCTAAGGAGGTGCTCTCAAGGAAGATAGGCCAGGAGGCCATCTCTGTGCTCTCCGTCTGCCTCGCTATAGCTTGTCGGTATCTCCCACAAAGGACATCATACACTACTCTAGGGCCCAGATTTTTGTGACTGTCGCCTAGGGAACACCTCCAGATTGCCTGCAATAGCGGCCAGCAGGGTTTGTCATTGTAGTCTCACAGGACTATTATATTTGTATACTTGAAAAGCTGCTGCCTGAGGATCTGGCTTCCAATCAGCCTGAACCTGGGGGCTGAGAACCCCCCACTTTGGGACACTGACAGGCTGTAGCACACCCTCAACCAATGGGAGCTATTAAAAATAAAAGAGTCTGCTAGGACAATCACAAAGGTTTGAGAGACAACCAAGAGTGAGGGCAAAGTACAACAATCAGTTTCATCCTCCTACACAAGGCCACTCCTTCAAGACTGGAAGAGCTGGCTATTTCATCTAATACATGGAAACCAACACAGAGAGTCAAACAAAATGAGGAAACAAAGAAGACATACAGATGGTCATCAGGTATATGAAATGATGCTCAACATCACTAAGCATCGGGGAAATGCAAATCAAAATCACAATGAGCTATCACCTCACACCAGTTAGAATGGCTATTACCAAAAAGACAAGAAGGGCTTTCCTGGTGGCGCAGTGGTTTAGAGTCCACCTGCTGATGCAGGGGACACGGGTTCGTGCCCCGGTCTGGGAAGATCCCACATGCCACGGAGTGGCTGGGCCCTGTGAGCCATGGCCGCTGAGCCTGCGCGTCCGGAGCCTGTGCTCCGCAACGGGAGAGGCCACAACAGTGAGAGGCCCGCGTACTGCAAAAAAAAAAAAAAAAAAAAAACCCAAGAAATAACGAGCGTCAATGAGGATGTGAAGAAAAGGGAACACTCCTGCACTGTTGGTGGGAATGTAAATTAGCACACAGCCACTAGGGAAAACATTATGGATGCTACTCAAAAAATCAAAAATAGAACTACCACATGATCCAGCAATTCAACTTCTCGTTATCTATCCAAAGAAAAGGAAAACACTAACTCAAAAAGATATATGCACCCCATGTTCTTTGCAGCATTATTTGCAATACACAAGACTTGGAAGCAACCTAAGCGTCCATCAGTGGAAGAAGATTAAATAAAATAAATTAACTAAAGGGGAAGATAGATACAGATAGAGATACATAGATAGTCATAGACAGACGATAAACACAGGAATAAATAAGACTCTTAAAGAAGATAAAAGTTTATTTCTGTTCACCTAAACATCTGAGATAAGCATTTTAGGTCAGTGGGCAGCTCTACTCCATGTAGGTATTTAGATATGAAGGCACTTTGGTCTTGTTTCTCTGCCAAAGCAGAGTTTTTTAACATGGAGCCCATAGACGCTTCAAGAAGATTAAAGGGTAAAATTCAGAGGATCTACAAATTTGAAAATTAAAAAATTTTATTTTTAATTTCTACAACGTCAAACTGAAATTTAGCATTTTCTCAATTTATGAATATGGGCTAAGAACCACAGTAGTGGAAACAATAAATGCTGGAGAGGGTGTGGAGCAAAGGGAACCTTCTTGCACTGTGGGTGGGAACGTAAATTGATACAGCCACTATGGAGAATAGTATGGTGGCTCCTTAAAAAACTAAAAATAGAACTACCATATGACCCAGCAACCCCACTATTGGGCATATATCCTGAGAAAACCATCATTCAAAAAGAGTCATGTACCACAATGTTCATTGCAGCTCTATTTACAATAGCCAGGACATGGAAGCAACCTAAGTGTCCATCGACAGATGAATGGATAAAGAAGATATGGCACAAATATACAATGAAATATTACTCAGCCATAAAAAGAAACGAAATTGAGTTATTTGTAGTCAGGTGGATGGACCTAGAGACTGTCATACAGAGTGAAGTAAGTCAGGAGGAGAAAAACAAATACCATATACTAACACATATATATGGAATCTCAAAAAAAAAGGTTCTGAAGAACCTACGGGCAGGACAGGAACAAAGACGCCGACATAGAGAATGGACTTGAGGACATGGGGAGGGGGAAGGGTAAGCTGGGACGAAGTGAGAGAGTGGCATGGACTTATATATACTACCAAATGTAAAATAGCTAGCTAGTGGGAAGCAGCCACATAGCACGGGGAGATCAGCTCGGTGCTTTGNTGTGCCACAACTACTGAGCCTGTGTTCTAGAGCCCGTGAGCCACAACTACTGAGCCCACGTGCCACAACTACTGAAGCCGGCATGCCTAGAGCCTGTGCTCCGCAACAAGAGAAGCCACTGCAACGAGAAGCCCGCGAACTGCAACGAAGAGTAGGCCCCGCTCTCCGCAACTAGAGAAAGCCCGTGCGCAGCAACGAAGACCCAACGTAGACAAAATTAAAAATAAATAAATTTATATAAAAGAAAGAAATCACAGTGTAATACATCTAACAGAATACCAGACAAATCCTCATGATCATCTTAAGAGACATTTACAAAGCCTGTAGCATAACTCAATACCCTTCCATGATAAAAACTCTCAAAAAACTAGGATTAGAAGATATCTTCTTCAATGCTCAACATCGCTAATTATTAGAGAAATGCAAATCCAAACTACAATGAGGTATCACCTCACACCGGTCAGAATGGCCATCATCAAAAAGTTTACAAACAGGGACTTCCCTTGGTGGTCCAATGGTTAAGACTCCACACTCCCTATGCAGGGAGCCCGGGTTCAAACCCTCGTCGAGGAACTAGATCCCGTATGCCGCAAGTAAGAGCCCACATGCCACAACTAAAAGACCCCGCATGCCGCAAGAGCCCACATGCCACAAGTAAAAGACCCCGCATGCTGCAAGTAAGAGCCCACATGCCACAACTAAAAGATCCCACACGCCACAACTAAAAGATCCCACATGTCACAACCAAAGATCCCAGATGCCACAACTAAAGATCCTGCATTCAACACCTAAAAGATCCCAAGGGCAATGAAGATCCTGCACATGGCAACAAAGATCCCACGTGCCCCAAATAAGAACCAGCACAGCTAAGTAAATAAAATACAATAAAATAAAAATTTAAAAAAAGTTTACAAACACTAAATGCTGGTGAAAGTGTGTAGCAAAAGGAACCCTCCTACTCTGTTGGTGGGAAATTAAATTGGTGCAGCCACTATGGAAAACAGTGTGGAGGTTCCTTCTAAACCTAAAAATAGTTGCCATATGATCCGACAATTCTACTCCTTGGCATATATCCAGAGAAAACTCTAATTCAAAAAGATACATGCACCCCAATGTTCACAGCAGCACTATTTACGATAGCCAAGACATGGAAGAAACCTAAATGTCTATCGACAGATGAATGGATAAAGAAAACGTGGTACATATATACAATGGAATACCACTCAGCCATAAAGAATAATGAAATAATGCCACTTGCAGCAACATGCATGGACCTAGAGATTATTATACTAAGTGAGGTACGTCAGACAGAGAAAGACAAGTATCATATGATATCACTTACATGTGGAATCTAATACAAAATGATACAAATGAACTTATTGATATTTACAAAACAGAAACAGACTCACAGACATAGAAAACAAACTTATGGTTACCAAAGGGGAAAGGGGGTGGGGAAGGGATAAATTAGGAGTTTGGGATTAGCAGATATAAACTACTATATATAAAATAGGTAAACAGCAAGGTCCTACTGCATAGCACAGGAAGCTATATTCAATATCCTGTTGTTAAACATAATGGAAAAGAATATGAAAAAGAATGTGTGTGTGTGTGTATATATGTATGTATATATTTACATTTATATATATATATTTATATATATAAGTGAATCCCTTTGCTGTACACCAGAAGCTAACATAATACTATAAATCAACGACACTTCAATAAAAATATATTAAAAACTGAAACACAGTTATGAAGCCATAAAAAAGGTACAAACTCTTAGTTATAAAATAAATAAGGCATGGGGATGTAATGTACAGCATGATGACTATAGTTAATAACACTAGATTGTATATTTGAAAGCTGCTAAGACAAAACCCTCTTAGGTTTGCTCTTAATAAGAGATTATAATAGGTTTTTCCTTACCTCCTAAGTAATCTCCGTAGAAAGCAGAGATTCTGTGTCTTATCAGAATAATTTCCTGTGCTGCTTGTTGATTTATCATGTCCTTTATTTGTAAGATAAATGAGTCTTCTTACTTCTAAAAGACAGAAGGCTGTTTTGAATCACATTACTTCCAATATTTACTTTTGAAATCTTTTATTACTACTCTGGTAAAATAGGTGGCCAAATAGTTTCTTAGTGACCCATGATTCTACTTAGCCAAGTGTACAAATCTTTTGCCATTTCTAACAACTTGTGATATTTGGCCTTTCCAAATTCAAATCCTAAATGAAATCTTCTTGATCTCATACTGATTTTTTTTTTTTTGCAGTACACGGGCTTCTCACTGTTGTGGCCTCTCCCGTTGCGGAGCACAGGCTCCGGACGCGCAGGCTCAGCGGCCACGGCTCACGGGCCCAGCCGCTCCGCGGCACGTGGGATCTTCCCGGACCGGGGCACGAACCCGTGTCCCCTGCATTGGCAGGCGGAATCTCAGCCACTGCACCACCAGGGAAGCCCTATATTCGTGTCCTTGTGTGAGTGAATTTGTAGGAATGCTCATGTGATTGAGTGAATGTTTGAGCAGGTTTGTATGGAGTGAATTGTTTAGAGTGTGGGTGACTGGGTTATGTCTATGTATTTGAGCACATTTGTGAGCATGTTCACGTGAGGGTATGAGGTATGAGCACATTTGTAGTGAGTGAATGTCTGAGCATGTGGGTGGGAAAGTACATGAATGTGTCTATATGCGTGAATAAGTTTTCAGCATGTTCATTTGTGTGAGCAAGGAGGAAACATGTTAATATAAGTGAATGTGTGAGCATGTGCATATATGTAGGCATGGACATTTGTGAGAGTGAATTTGTGAACTTTTTCACGTCTTACAGTGTGTTATGTGAGAATATTTGAGTGTTGAATAAATGGGGGTGTTCAAGTGTGTGGAACTTGTGAGCATGTGCATATATATTTTCATGTTTGTGTGAGTGAATATTTGTTTTCATGAGCTTGTTACGGTGAGAGTGTATTGTATGTTAAATCTGCGAGTGAATCTTTGTGTGTAAGTGAATGTTTGAGTTGATGCTGAGTGTGAGCATGTTTGTGTGAGAGTGAATAGGTAAGCATATTTCTGTTTGTGAGTGTGTTAATGTGCCTGTGTAAGTGAATGGCTTCAGTGTGAACACAGTCTATATGACTGTGTCTCTGTAAGTATGAGTTTGTGAGAATGCATGTTGTGCCAGTTAATGTGTGAGCATGGCCCTGTTTTTGAGTGTGCTAATGAGTGTAAATGAGGGAATGTGCTCATGTGAGATCTGTGAGTGTGTCTTCTTTGTGAATACATTTGTGAACATGTTCAGGTGAATGAGGGAATATGTGCACTGGTGGTAGCATATGTGAGTGTGTCTACATGTGTGTGAGAACTGAGGAGGTTTGTGTTAGTGAATACGTGAATACGTCTGTATAAGAGCATGAATTTGTTTTAGTGAATTTGTATGGTCATGGGTGAGAACAGGTAGGTGTGTGTGAGTGAACACTGAGATGTTTGTGCATGTGAATGAGTAAATACGGGAGTAAGACTGGACACGTGATTTGTATAAATCATCATATCTAAGAGTATATATGCAAATGACTTTTTAACACGTGTGTGTTTGATTGAATGTGTTAGCATTTGAGCGTGTGATCATGTTAAGATGGGGATGCCCATGTGTGACTGAATGTATGAGTATGTCCTTGTTTGTGTGTTTATATATATTAACGAGAGAAGGTGTGAGCGAGTGAACGTAAGCATGTATGAGTGTGTCTTGCGTGTGAATGAATTCGTGGGCATGTTCTTGTGAACAAATAAATGTGTGACCAAGTCTGTGGGATTGAATGTGTGACAATGTAGATGTAAGTGCGTCTATGTGTGTTAGTAATTTGTAAGCATGTTGTGAGTGAACAGGTGTTCACCTTTAAGCATGTTAATGTGTGGGGGTATTTGTGTGCGATTGTGTGAGCGTTTCTAAGTATGAGCATGTTCATGGACAAATGAAGACATGAGCATGCTCCTTTTGTGATCATGTTATTTTATGGAAGTTAAAGTGTATATACAGGGACTTCCCTGGCAGTCCAGTGGCTAAGACTTTGCCTTCCAATGCACGGGATGCAGGTTCAATCCCTGGTCGGGGAGCTGAGATCCCACACGGCCAGAAAATCAAAACAGAAAACAGAAGCAATATGGTAACAAATTCAATAAAGACTATTTAAAAAAAGGTCCACATCAAAAAAAAATCTTTAGAAAACAGTGTATGTACATATAAGTGCAAATGAGTCTGTCTAGTGTGTGAATGATTTTGTGAGTGTGTTCACGTGAGTGAATACATGTATTATCATGCTCATGTGACTGAATGTTCACACATGTTTGTGCAAGTGACAGAATGTGTAAGACTGTTCGTGAGTACAGGAGTGTGACTGTGAGTTAATCTGTCACTGTGCCCTTTGGAGTGAATTGTGAGCATGTTATTATAAGTAACAATGTGTATGTGTGCATGTATAGTATCAATTTTTGTGTCTGAGTAAATTCACAAGTTTATTTGTGTGTTTGAACACACATATGAGTGAATGGTAATCAAGTTTTATACTTAATATGTTGATATGCATCTGTGACTGTGAGAATATGTGCAAGTGATTATATGTGAATCTCTACGTGTGCAAGCCAATTTTACACCATGTTTGTGTTTGTCAGTGAACATGTCAATGCGTGTGAGCCTAAATTAAAGTACACACATCAGTAAATATATGAGTGTTGATACATGAGTGAATGAATATATGGTTATATGACCATATTTTCACGAGTGAGTGAAGGTGTGAGCATTTCATGTGTGTAGCCATGTTGGTTTGAGTAATAGTTGTTCATCTGAGTGAGTGAATGAGCACGTATCTGTGAGTACATAAGCGTCTCCACCAGTGTGAGTAAACGTCTGAGCGTGATCATGTCAGGGAATAAATGTGTGTGCATCTATAAGATTGATGTGTGAGCCTATTCAAGCGTAAGTGTGTTGGTTTGAGTATATTTGTGTATTTAACACATATTTGTACCTATTCACGTGTATGAGTAAATATGTGAATTTGTTCATGGAGGTTAGCTTGCTCATGTGTGCGAGTTAATCTGTAAGCATACTAGTTTGCATGGGGTTGCTAATGGATGAGTAAACTTATGAGTGAATATGTGAGCATCTACTTGTGAGGGTATATGTACATCTGGGATGTCTGAACATGTGAATTTCATGATGAGTGTCAAAATGTTTATTTACAATTGAATGGGTAAGTGTGTTCCTATTTGTGTTCATTTGCACGGGCAAAGGGTTTGAGAGTGTACGTATATGCAGGATCTGTGCACGTGAGCCGAAATTAGTACGTCTTTAGGTTGGAATAAATTTGTGATCATGGTTGTATGAGGGAATGGATGTTTGGGCATTTTTGGGTGTGTGAGTGAATGTTGCAAGTGTGTTTATGTGTGTGAGCTTCTTAATGGAAGAATATATTTCTGGGAGTGAAAGTGTGAGTGTGTGTTTGGAAGCATGTTCATTTGCAAGTGACTGTGTAAGGATGTCCCTGTTTGTGCTTACGTGCACAACCTGTGAGGGAATGTGTATGTACATGTGACACATATGAATGCCTTGTGCATGAGTGATACTGTAACCATGTTCATTTAAGTGACTGGGTGAGCCAGTTTGAGTGAATAAATGTGTCAACATATTTTATGAGTGTCACTGAGCATACATATAAGTGTGTTCATGCCAGTGAATGAATATATGAATGTTATTTGTCTGTCAGAGAGTTAACGTGTGGGTGTATTTGACTACGTGAGTGAATTTGTATGCAAGTAAACGCGTGAGTGTGTAATATGTGGGATAATAATTTCTTTCGGGAATGTGGGAGCATGTTCATATGTGGAGCAGGCACTCTGGGGACTTAACATGTAAGTATATTTACATATTGAGTATGACTGCATGTGTGATCAAGTTCATACGTGTGACTGTTGATGAGCATCAGCACGTGTTTGTGAGTATACGTGAGTTTGTCTCTGTGCGAGAGTAACTTTGTTTGATGTTAACAGTGAATAAATATATACGCATGTCCTTATTTGAGGGTGTTCATCTGTGGGTGACTGTGTGAGCATGTTCATGTGTGTGAGGGACTGAGTGTGTTTGTAGGTGAATAAACATGTAAAGATACTCACAGGTGAGTGACCGTGCAAGGAGCATGATACAGTGAGAGTATATCTGTGTGTGACTGAATATGTGAGTATTTTAGTTTGTGAGCAGGCTAATGCATGTGCATAAGTGAATACGTGGCTGTGTCCATGTAAGCAAACACAAGTGTGCCCGTGTGTAAGTGAATTTGTGAGCAAACTCATGTGACTGAGTGAATGTGTGAACGTGTCCATATATGTGAGTCTGTGTTTGTATGAATTCTTGAGTATCTTATTGTGTGAGTAAATAGTGAGCATGTTTGTATATGTGAGCATATTAATGGGAGAGGGAGAATGGATATGTGTGAAAATGAATTTATGGGAGGGTCGCTATGTATGTGTATGAATTTGTGAGCATGTTTGTGTGCATGAGATTGTTGATTGTGTGAACCCATTAACACCAAGTATGCCACTGTGTGGGAGTGAACGTGTCAGTGTGTTGATGTGTGTGAAGGAACGTGAGTGATCTTGCGTATGCGATCATATTCATGTGTGCAATGAATTCGTAAGCACTGTCATGTACGTGAACATGGTATTTCAAATATATCTGGGTGTCTGAATATGTAGATACATGTTCCTAAACCAGGGTATCTACAAGTGCTAGTAAACCTGTGAGTGAGTGTGTGAACATGTGCATGTGAATCTTTAAGCGTGTTTGATCGTGTAAGCTTGTTAATGTTTGATTACATTTGAATGAGTGAACATGTGAGTGTGTATGAGTTTATCTGAGTGTATCCATATGCATGAGTGAAGGTGTGGACTTCATGGTGTGTGAGCATGTTTGTGGGTAAGTGAATATGTGAGCATGCCTGTTTGTGACTGTGTTAATGTGTGCATGTGAGCGAATGTGTGAGTTTTACATGTGAGCATACTTGAGTGTGTGTGTGTTTGTGTGTGTGAGTGAATCCGTGGGCATCTTCATTTTATTGAGTGAATATGTGACCAAGTTTGTGTGAATAAATGACTGTGTAAGCAGAATGTGCTTAAATTTGCCATCTTATACATTGCTGTGACTAAGGCAACATGCAGGTTTGTTTTGGTGGGCAATTGTATGTATGTTCTTTCTTGCTCAGAGTGGTGTGATCGTTGCTTGAGTTTCCTGCCAACTACCAGTAACAAACAGCTGGGTGGGCCAAGTGATTTCAAAAACAGATTGTACATTTGTCCCATTTCTGTCCCTGTTTATCACAAGGCTGCTGAATTTCAGTGCAGGGCTACCTGTTCCAATGCTTCCATTCTAGGGGAAATTTTTCTTGGGCAGCTGTTTGTATAGCTTTCACAGCCTCAGACGTGGCCTCTTGGGAGGTGGTCACGTAACGCTACCAATAGATTTCCTCCCAGATTACCTTTGCCACTGGGCTTCTCATTTTTGTTCCGTAAGATGGGATGTATATGTTTTAAGATCCCCAGAAGAGTAACATTGGGCTGCAATTTCCCTCAAGTCTTTCCCAAGTGCTTATTAACGATGGCCTTGGTAAGCCTGACAAATTTTGTAAACGTTGTAACCAAGTAGCTGTCAATTTGGATGGAAAAACTCCCACGTAGGGCTTCCCTGTGGGCGCAGTGGTTGAGAGTCCGCCTGCCAATGCAGGGGACACGGGTTCGTGCCCCGGTCTGGGAAGATCCCACATGCCATGGAGCGGCTAGGCCCGTGAGCCATGGCCGCTGATCATTAGCGTCCGGAGCCTGTGCTCCGCAACGGGAGAGGCCACAACAGTGAGAGGCCCGCGTACCGCAAAACAACAACAACAACAAAAAACTCCCACGCAGAGACTGGTTAGATTTCTCCATGGGATCAAATATGTTTTCATGAGAACTGTCTTTGCTGTCGCACCCAAAAGCTGTGATTGTTTACTGTGGGCAGTAAGTGCTGCAGCTGTTGAAGAACCCAGTCCCACTGAGTGTGATGTAAATCTTGAAGGTGGTATTGTAAGAACGTTAGGTTAGGAAAGAATTCCCAAACTGGATGAAGCTCCTGACATTTTAGACATGCCTTGTCCTGGGTATTATGTTGTATACATTCCTTTCCTTGTGTGTGTGTGTGTGTGTGTGTGTGTGTGTGTGTGTGTGTGTGAGTATGTGTGTGTGTGTGTATTTATATATAAAATATGACCTACCAACCCGGGGGAAATTCATGATAAGTTGCCCTTGGTCAATTAGTGTAATTTTTTTTAGTGCAAGCTTCAGTAAATGGGACTTGTGCTAGAGAGAGAGAAATCGTTATAACTACTAAGAAAAGAGACCAATAGTTGTTAAGGTATACGTTTTTGGCAGCGTTTACATTCATCATTATGCCAGGGATTAGTAAGAGCTATAATTTTATCTAATTGTAACCCCATAGAGTTTGTCGGTATGGCTCTTCATTACAGCATTTTTAATATGACTACACTGATCACAAGCATGCTGGCTGTACTACCGGGTGCATACTCTCCCTGGGATGCCTTAAATAAGACTCAAGAGATAGTGGCTCTATTTGCTTAATGGCACTACTTTATAACACTGGGTCTCATCTGATTTGAGGTGAAAGTTGGCCCTGAGGGTTTAGAAGGCATCTATGAGTCATTAAGTGTTATCCGAAGAGTCTGGCTTAGCCAGAATGGGTGTTGCTAGTAGTAGAAGAGACAGGAGAAGGTCGCTAGCCTCAGTGTTGGTATCTGTGGTCATGTCAGTAGGATTGACCAACCTGAATAGCCAACAGCATGGCTCCCATTGTCCCCAACCTGACCTATGTTGTAAGAGTCCCTGTTGTGTGCATGTGGTATACTGTTTCCAACACACCCTGTCAACAGAAGTGTGTGGATTACTAGGGCTGGGTGAACCGCAAATAGACAGATAGTCAACAATGGCAAGGGCAGTAACTCCTCAGGTAAGAAGGGGCATACTAACAGGGTAGGGATTAAGGTTGGAGGTCACCTGTAGCCATCAGTAGGGGACCTGATTGTCCCTGGGTGTTGTTCAGATGGGGTTACCTGGTCTGGGAGAGGTTTCGCTCCACCCCCTGGGTTCCACAGTGCCTTTAGTGGAGCAAAGTACAGGGATGGCAGATAAGGACACCTCTTTCTCCAGAAAGTGGTGGGTAGTTTGCTTGGCTTATACTGGATGACGAACGAACACAGGCTAAGGATGGTTTCAGAATCACTGGTCCACGTCAGGTTCTCATCAGGATCACGAAGGAAGTGGCTCAGCTCCGGGTTTTCTATGAGGGAGAAAGGAAAGATGAAAGTACCTGGTGAAAGTTTCTTTTCTGTGCATGGCAATGCCTGGGCTCCCATGTCTGTGAAAACTGACAACCGGGTCGTGTCTGCAGTGGAGGTGTACACCAGCAGAGAGAGAAATGTCTCTGTTGGGGGTCTCGTCATTTGTTGTGAATTTAAATATGGTGTAGTTATGCCACAGGGGCATGAACTTAATATAATCTGGACCGTGGGCAGTATTTTTGACCACCTGAAGGGCCACTGCCCTCCAAGTTCTCTCAACAGCCCTTGAGTTAAAAGTCCATTATGTCGGGGCTTCCCTGGTGGTGCAGTGGTTGAGAGTCCGCCTGCCGATGCAGGGGACACGGGTTCATGACCCGGTCCGGGGAGATCCCACATGCCGCGGAGCGGCTGGGCCCGTGAGCCATGGCCGCTGAGCCTGCGCGTCCGGAGCCTGTGCTCCACAACGGGAGAGGCCAAAACAGTGAGAGGCCCGTGTACAGCAAAAAAAGAAAAAAAAAAGTCCATTATGTCTTTCCATGATCCCTGCTACTGGAAGATGATAGGATAGGTGACAACCCCAAGCAATGTTTTCTTGTAATGCCCGTTGCTGGTTTGCTTTACAGGGATGTGGGAACTTTGGTCTGACGGGATAACTTCTGCGGCAGCCCCAAGGGCTGTAAAAGCTATTTTGTCAAGCCCTCAATAATATGAGGAGACGCCTGTGCCTTGCATGGATACACTAATGGAAGGCCTGTATAGAAGGCCGGGAGGTTATGGTAAATTAACTGCAGTGGCAGGGTATGTGGTGATTTTCTCATGGAGTTGCAGCACTCTAGTAGGGCCAGCTTTAGCTCAATCCAGTAGATCCCATTATCATTTGAGCAGAGGCCTTTGTTGCTCTACGGGGAGCTTCTGCCACTACCCAGGACATAACAGGAATCTCAAACCACAGGACAACTGGCTCTGCTCCAGTAAAGCCTTCAGTTTCAATAAGGGCTCAGTGCACCTCCAGAAGCTGCCTCTCCACTGGCCAATACCTTTGGACTGAGTCTGGGAGTCACTTATGCCAAAGGCCCACGGACATTTGGTCCAGCGGCTCCCATAAGTGAACGTTAGGGTGGCCGAAACTTCCAATTGTAAGTCCTGCCCTCAGAGCACTAGTGGGAGAGCTGAAATGATAGCCTTCTTTAGTCTTATCTAGTGCCTTTTGTGGCTCAGGTCCCCACGGAAAATTGGAGGGCCAATGGGTGACTCCGTAGATGGGAGCCAGCAAATATTTGAGGTTGGCACCAGAATGCAAACATGCCTACCAAATGTTGGGCTTTCTTTACCAATCTGGGAGGTTGGCTGGAGCACTAGGAGCTTTTCTTTCACCCAGTTGCGACTAGTTTACCCTTCTGAGTTTCAAACATAGCCCGGAAATTTAACAACCTAGGAGGTGCCTTGTACCTTATGGCGGGCAATTGCCCATCCCCTCTCAGGGAGGTGTTCACTCACAGCTGTGATGGTGTGTGACACAGAGTCTTGTCCAGGTCCAGTGACCAGGATATCATCGATACAATGCCAGAGCTGAGTCTCTGCAGGAGGTGGCTGGTGCCGAGCAAGCATCTAGGTCCCGAATGCAAATCCCACGGGAAATCACGGGGGCATTCATGTACCCCACAGGTCACTGGGAAAAAGGTGTACTGTTGATCCTCCAAGGGGAAGGCAAAGTGTGATATTTAACAAAGAGAACATGTTAGCCCAGTCTATGACTCTGAACCATTTACCAGTGTTATTCTGAATGTCATTCATTAAGGGAACAATTCATGGTAGAGGGGCTCTAATACAGGGAGCAGCCTTGTTTAACTCTCTCTAGTCTACAGACAGCCTGTACTCATTAGAAGTGGCTTTAAGCACAGGCCATACCAGAGAACTGAAAGGTGGGAATCCATTCCTTTCTTTAACTAAGTCAGCTAGGACAGGCCATAATCCTTCAGTGCTTTCCTTTTACTCAGTACCTCTTACACGGGTAGAGCAAGGTGAACTGGTTCCCACTGGCCAGCGCCCACCAGTGGCATCGAAACCTTAGGCTTGTTTCATGAGGTTACCTGCTGACTGAGGAAGTCCATTCCAGTAATGGGCAAAGAGCCTCAGAGAACAACCAGCGCAGAAGCATCTTTTAGCAAAACTAAGCCCATATTAAAAGCTAAGCAGATGGGACTTCCCTGGCGGTCCAGCGGTCGACTCCGCACGTCCACTGCAGGGGGCGTGGGTTCGATCACTGGTTGGAGAACTAAAATCCCGCACGCCACACAGAAAGTTAAAAAAAAAAAAAGCTAAGCAGATAATGATCCCTTCAATTAATTCTCCTCCAAAGCCCGGCATCTCCTGGTGGGGGGAGGGGGGCGGCACTTTAAAGTATGAGTGCTTCCTGGGATTAGGGAGCTTTGGACACCTGTGTCCACCAGAGCCAGCCAGTGTTGTTAATAGTTTACAGTTCACGTGGTAAAAGGGCTACTGTCGGCCAGAAGAGGCCTGCTTTGAGGCCAATGGGTCCTGATGTGGGAGCAGGTCCTTGCCACTGGCAGAGGTCAGGGGCAGACATGGAAGGTAAGGTTGTCTCTGAAGGAAAAGCCTGGCCAGGTTGGAGTCTGACTTTAGTAAATATTTTAATTGCTCCACAGATTTACCAGAGATCATCTAATATCTCTGGGCTCCTTGTCCCTTAGGGTCCAATACAAGCAACGTCTCTAGTTCATTTCAGGGTTCACGCTTAAGAGGGGGCCTGGTTTTAAGTGGTTTATTTGGCCGAGGAAGGGGGCAATCGCTCTATGGAGAGTAATTTTGATTTAGGCCAGGTGGGGTATTGTTAACAGGCAGCACTTGACTTTGAATTTGTCTTTCGTGAGTTTCTGTTAAATCCAGGGCAGCTATGTCCTCTTGAACTGTCTCAGGATGAGCCATCACTGTCAGGAAAGAGGACTTACACTTTTCAGGAGCACCCCCTGAGAAACAACTTGGTGGACTCAGGACAAAACTCAGCCTCCTCGAGACTTGGCAAATCACCAGGCTGCATGCCATCTGTCGCCTGATAAGCCCATCCCAACATCCCCAGCTGTTGGAGGCTAATGTTTTCCTTTAAGAGTTTGCCCAGGATCACTATGAGGCTTAACGTAGGGTGGGCAGCCTTCTAAGAAATAAAAATCCACATCAACAACGTATCTACCTACTTATCTATCTATCTATCTATCTCTCTGTCTATCTATCTATCTATCTATCTATCTATCTCCAAGGCCTCCTCTGGGACCATTCCTAGCTTCTGCACTAATTGCGTGAGATACTTCAGTAGGGACACCATTTTCCCATCCCATAGTATGGCAGTCAATTGATTAATTACATTCCCTGCTAGGTGGAGCTCACTGTCCCCCAGGTTCTATACAGCCAGAGAGCCCTTTTTTCATTTGGCTCTTCGGCTACGTCCCTAAGGAGAGACTGGGTCTCACGGATGGGTGAGAGAAAGGATATGTTTCCTCCTCCACCTGAGAGCACACCTCACCTCCTTAGCCCTCCTACTTTGTCTCTTCTGTCTTTATTACTTTGTGAGTGGTTACCAGCAAAACAGAGGATAAATAACTGTCAGGATGGTATTGCACTGCCTTTTCTTCTAGAGGGCACCAGACCTCTTTTCCCAGGGTTCTCCAATTTGTCTCGACTTCCAAAGGAGTTAAGGCTCCAAGCAAAAACAACAGTGAACAGAGCCCGACACGTCTTGTGGTTTGGAGCATGTGTTCATTAAGACAGCCACCTCCAGGACTTCCCTGGCGGTCCAGTGGTTAAGACTCTGCGGTTCCACTGCAGTGGGCACGGCTTCGATCCCTGGTCAGGGAACTGATATCCCACGTGCCGTGCAGCCAAAAAGAACAAAAAACAAAAAAGACAGCCACCTCCTTCAAGTCCTGGGAGCAGCAGGAATATTCACTTCCGTGCATTCAGTCATTCTAAGTAATGCTTTTTTAAGCCCACATCCTTTGGGGGAGGGACTAGAAAGATGCCATCTGCAACAGCAGGTCGGAGTGAGACAGCAGCAGAGACAGGCTAGCTGTTTACAAAGATGTCCTAAGAGACCAGCCTCGGCCTGACACCTCTGCCTTATTGACTCATTTACCTGCCATAGCCGCGCCCTGGCCATGAGGATGTCCTCTCACCTCAGAGCACCCCAGATCACCAGCCCAGCTACAGGGAGCCTGTTATGGGATCAGAGGTAGCCCACTCTTGGTCCAGAGGCCCGCACTCCTCCCCTTTTCCTATTTGGGCCCACAGGTCTTACAACGTCTAGTACCTGCCTAGTGAGGGACCCAGGTGGCTGGGCGGATCTTTCTTGGGGAGCCCAGTGCCTCTGATCCCCAAAACTCAGTTACAATGGCATGGGTTGGCTCAAATACTGCTGCTGCTGCTTGACCAGGCTAATGACACACAGGGAGACACCATAAATACAGATAAAGTGTAATACAGCACAGAGCAATGCCATGCCAAACTGACATGGGGGAGTTCCACATTTTGAGTCCCAACCACTTAAGACTGTCCAGGATTGTTTTGCCAATGGATACTCCTCCTGACTGGGTGGACCCTATATTGATTTCTTGATTATCACCCAAATCCTCCACTTTCCTCATCAACACGAGTAATGAGTGCGAGGGATTTAGGGGCTGATCAAAGACTAAAGTATCACCAGAAAGTGGCAGTAGCACAAGATGACCTTTATCCGGAGGAGGCTTTCACAGCTTTGCATGCACGGGAAGTGTCTTAATAACAGGAGAACTTCCAGAGGCTACTGTGTGGGAGTACCACTCAGGAAGGAAAAGCAAGGGAAATGCCAGGGAAGAGCAGGTTCAGAGAGAGGACTAGTGTGTTTAGGTGACACCACTCAGGAGCATGATGGGAAGCCTCTGGGTCGGAGAGTACCAGAGGGCAGCAGTGCTGTGGGGTCTTTTATAACTACAGGCTTTATCTTATCTATAGCTAACAGGTGTTGGCTGCAGTTTCGCATGGCATACAAAGCACGCAAGCTCTGAATGGATTAAAATCTACTTACTTGGAATATATTCAAAGCAAATGAATGTGTAAAAATTGAGTTTGGTGTGGCCGGGCTTTTGAGCTAATGGGTTCCAGCCTGCTGTGCAGAAGGAAAGAGAGGCCAACTTTGGCTCCTTTACACAACAATGTCCGTGTTGGAGAATGAATGGGTGAGCCTTTTCAAGCACAGTATGAGTGTGTTCATAGGAATTTGTGTGATTAAGTAAATGTTTGTGCATCTTCATATGCATGAGAGAACAGGTGACCATGTGCATGGATATGAGCATGTTTGTGGGTGTGAGTGAAAATGTAAGCATGTTTATTTGCCTGATATTCTTTTGGGGGGGGCCATGCTGCACGGCTTGCAGGATGTCAGTTCCCCGTCCAGGGACTGACCCCAGACCACGGCAGTGAAAGTGCTGAGTCCTAACCACTACACCGCCAGGGAATTCCCGTTTGACATTTTAGAAACACATCTGACCCTTAAACAACAGGGGATTGAATAGCGCAGATCCACGTATATGCAGATGTTTTCAATGGCAAATACTACCGTACTACACGATATGCGATTAGTTGAATCGGCAGATGCAGAACCCTGGATTCGGAGGAACCTCATGTACACAGGGCGGACTATACGTTATACGTATTCAACTGCACGTGGAGGGTCAGCACCCCTAACCCCTGTGTCGTTCAAGGGTCAACTACATTAGTGTATTTGAATGAATGAATGTGTGAGTGTATGTGAGTGAATGTGTGAGGCTCTTGGTGAGGGTGAGCACATTCCTAGTTGGGAGCATGTAGCTCTGTATGTGAGGGAATGAGTGTAAGTATGTAAGTGACTGTGACTCAATGTGTCAGCACATTCTAGTGAAATGTGAGCAGTTATTGTAAGCAAAGGAGTGTGTGAGCATGTGTGCAAGTGAATGGGACCTTGCGCATGTATATAAGCACAGGTGTGAGAGCGAACGTGGGAGCCTTTTAAAATATGAGTTTGTGTGTTGAAGTAAATGGGACTTTTCATATGTATGAGTGAATTCGTGAGCATGTGCATGGATGTTAGCATACTCGTGCGTGTGTGTCTCTGTGTGTGAGTGTGTGTTTGTGAGCATGTGAAAGTGGAGTAGATTTCTGTGAGTTAATGTGCAGGTGTGTGGGGGGGGTATACCTGAGCATCCCTATGTGTGTGAGTAAAATGTGTGAACTTCATGGTAAGTGTGAGCATATGCACTTGTCAGAGTATGAGTATGATGCTGTTTGTCAATGTGCTGTGTGTGGGGAAATGTGAGTACGCAACTGTGAGCATATATGAGTGTGTGTGAGTGAATGTGGGAGCAAGTTTGAGGGAATGCATGTGTAAGCACGTTTTCATGAGTGAGTGAACGTGTAACTGTTCATTTGTGTAAGCTTGTTAATGTGTGAGTGCATGTTCATGAATACATGAGAATATGCTTGTGAGTTTGAGTGTATCTGTGTGTGAAGGTGTGAGCTTTGTGATGACTGGAGAAAATCTGTGTTCAAGTGACTGCATCAAAGTGTTGCTGTTTGTGAGCATGTTCCTGTGCACGTATAAGTGAAACTGAGTGTACTCTTGTCAGCATATATGAATGTCTGTATGTGAATGAATTTGTAAACATGTTCACAGGTTAGTGGACATGTGAGGATTTTGTGTGAGTGAATGTGGGTATGATCATATATGAGTGTGTCTATGCACATGAGTAAATTTGTGAGTATGCTCGTGAGTCAGTGAATATGCTCCAATGTTAGAGAATTTTTGGCTGTGTGCAAGTATGTGAGCATTTCTTATATCTCAGTGAATTTGTTCATGTGAAGAATATGCTGTGGATGTGAGTGAATAGTGATCACACTTGTATATGTGAGCATGTTCATGTGTGTGTGCAAATGATTATATGTAAGGATGTCTATGTGGGTGAAGGAATTTGCAACCGTGTTTGTGTGTGCGACTGAGTGTTTGTGCATGTGAGGGTGTGAACATCTTAAGGATGAGTAGGCTGACGCACGTAAGTAAATGTATGAGTGACACAGTATACGTGAGGCATATTCAGGTGGGTGAATGAGTGCATAACCATGTTAAATTGAGTATATTTGTATTGGAACGAATGTGTGCATGTGTCAGTCTATCTAGGAATGGGAGTAAGTCTGTGAGCATGTTCATATGAGTGAATGTGTAACTTGTGGATGTATGTGATCATGTCTGTAAGAGTGAATGGAGCCTGTTCATACGTCAGTGTGGTAATGTGTGTTTGTGTTTCTGTGTGTTCACGTGTATGAGCGAATTTGTAGGTACGTGCGTGACGGTAGCATGTTCATCTGTGAGTGAATGTGTAACCGTATTCATTTTTGTGAGCTTGTTAATGAGTGCATCTATTTCTGAGTCAATGCATGAGTGTATGTGTATGTGTGAATGTTGATCAGATGCATGAACATGACTGTGTTAATGAGGGTACCTGTGACTTTATGAGCAGGTTCACTGTGTGCATATGTGAACATGTTCATGTTTGTGTGCAAATGACTGTGTAAGTATATACATGTGATCATGTTCCCGTGTTTGAATGAATGTGGAAGCATATCAGGTATGTTCATGAACGTGAGTGAATGCATGCTTTGTATTTGTCTTTTTGTACATTTGTGTCTGAGTAAATGTGCAAAAATGTTTATGTCAGTAAATGCAGGAGCATATAAATATATTTATATATATATACACACACACATATATACGGGTGAATATTATTAAAATGCAAGTGTAAGTGAATACAGGAACATGTGTGCATTAATGAATATGTAAACATACTTTTCTGTAGGGGCATGTTCATGTGTGTGTTTTCTGTGAGTCAATGCGATTATGTTTGTGATTAAAAGTGAGTTCATTTGTGTGGAAGTGATAATGTGAGCATGTCTATGTGCAACTGTGAGTGTGTGAGTGTATGTGAGTTTGCGTGTGAGAGATTGTGTGAGTGAATATGATCCTGTCTATATGTGAAAGTGTGATCGTGTCCATGTCTGTGCATGAGTATTTTTGGGGTGTGCATGAATGCTGTTTTTTAAATAAACGTGAGAGCATGTGTGTTTATGACCACGTAGGCTGTGTGAATATGTGAACGTGTTCATGTGTGTGAACTTGTTCATGCATGAGTGATGTGTGTGTGTGTGCATGTTATTTTTTAAATAAATGTGAAAGCATGTCCATGTGTGAATGTGTGTGAGTGGAGGTAGGGAGTGAGTGTGTGAGTGTGCAGTCATGTCCGTATGTAAGTCCATGAGAACGTGTGTGTGTGTTTATGTGTGAACGTGAGTGAAAGTGGGAGTGTCCACTTCTTAGTGAGATAATGTGAGCACGTTTGTGTGTCTGGGAATGTTAATGTTTAAGTATGTTCATGTGTGGGTGAATGTCTGAGTATACTTGTGTGTTTGAGCATGAACGTATGTAAATGAAAGTTTGAAAACATTTGTGTTTTGGGCATGTTAATGTGCAAGTGTGAAAGTTTTTGTGTGTGTTTAAATGAATTTGTGTGTTCATTCATATCTAGGTGTGTGAGCATGTGCATGTAAGGGAGCATGTTCACATGTACTAATTAATGTATGAACAAGCTGGTGTGTGTGAAGGTATTGGTGTATAATTATTTTTCCTGTGTGCAACTGAATGTGTAAGCAAGTTTATGTATGTGAGCACGATGTATAATTTTAAGTGAAGTTGTAAGTGTATGTGGGGTGTGTCTGTACATGCGAATTAATCTGTGAGCAAGTTCATGTGAGTGAATATGTCAATATGTTTGTGTGATCATGTTAATGTCTTCTTGTGCTCATGTGTGTCTGAGCAGCTTTGTGTGTGTGATCGAATATAAGGATGTGCATTTATGTGAACATTTTCCTTTGTGTCAATAAGTGTGTAAGGTTTTTCTGTGTTTGAGTATGTTAAAGTGTGAATATGTTCATTCAGTGAATGTGTGAATATGGGTATCGGTGTGAATGAACATATCAGTATCTGTGTGATTGTACTGAAATGTGTTTTAATATGTCTACATTCATGAATGTGACTATGTGACTGTATTCATGTGAGGATTAACATATGAACATGTTCGTGTGTGAGTAAATGGAGGAGCAGTTTTGTGTGTGAGAACACGTTCACGTTGGTGACAATGTTAACATCTTAGTTTGCATGACTGTGTGAGTGTCCTGTGATTGGACATGAGTGCATCTACGTGTGAGTGAATGTGTGAGCATGTCTGCGCATATACGCATGTTAATGTGAGTGTGCTCATTCGTGTGAAGGAATGTGAGAATGTGCTCCTATGGGTGACTGAATGCGTGAGTGTGTTCGTGTGGGAATGACTGTGAGTCGATAGGTGTATGTTCACGTGCAATTGTGAATGAATGTATGACTTTATGTGTGTGAGACAGCATCAGTGTGTTCATGTGTGTGAGTGGATGTGTGAGTATGAGTGTATGTGAGCATGTCTGTGTGCGAGTGACTATGAGTTTGTGAGTGGATGATATTGTGTCTGTCAGGGTGTGAGCACGTTCTTGTGTGTGACTGAGTTAATATGCACGTACATGTGAACATGTTCATTTGTGTGAACGTGTGAACCTGTTCACGTGTCAGTGATCTGTGAGTGTGTATGCGTTTTAGCACATTTGTTTCAGTAGATATGCAGGTACGTCCGTGTGAGAGCATGTTCACGTGTGATTGAATGCGAGTGTATGAGGCTACGTGTGAATGCCCCAGCATGTTCCTGTGTGAAAAATGTGTTTGTATGTCCACGTGTGTGAACATGTTGATGGGAAAATGTTAAGAGCATGTGTAAATATATTTGTGCGTGAATGGGTCAGCACGTGAGTGTTTGTGTAAGTGAATGTGTGAGAATGCTTATATGCGTTACAGATTTAATGTGTAAGTGTGAGTGAATGTGTGAGCATGCGTTTGAGTGTGTTTCTTTTTTTTCAGAACCCCAGGTCCATATAGTGAACTGTAAGGCACTGTGCACAAAGAAGTTTTTATTTTCTATTGGCTCAAAGCTGTCTTTAACCAGCTCTACAGCTAGGCCATATTATTCTCTGTGTATTACATCACACTACTGCTATAGAAACCTGTGTGACTCTTGTGATTCAACCTGCTGGCTTCCCTGAAGGATAACTGCCCAGAAGCTGAGCTGCAAAGAGAGAAATGTGTTACTCCAAGCCTAATGCTTCAGAAAGCAAAGTTCTACTGGGAATAATTGTCTGAATGACAACTGAGAAGTAAATGGGTTTCTGTGTTAGGGCAAATCCCAGACTCCAGCATTTAGGGTTATTCTGAACAAGCCCCAGCAATGTGCTATGTAGGGACAGGGGTTCCTATAAACGCAGTCCTTTATTACAACCTTTTGCACCACTCACATACCTTTAGAGAATGGAAGCTGTGTAAGACAGTTAACAAAACCCAGCAGGGCCGGGGAGCCAGGGACCCCACCAATCCCAGGGTCGTACTTCTCATTCTAGACCATTCAGTGCCACTCAGGCAACTCCATCCCTTTTCGTGGAATCCTGAGGACCCTAAAGGGCCAGCACAGAGCCCTGTCCAAGGGCTCCCAGCTAAAAGAGCAAAAGGGAGCTGAAATGCAGTCCACGTTCCCCTCATCAAGCCATGTGTCCTGGCACCGAAATGCAGCCCAGAAGAAGGGAAACTTGTTCTACTTATCTGCCCAGAGGGGCCGCCTTATGTGCTA